TTTGATTCCATGTTATCTATCCTCCAGAGTTGTAATTCGTAGAGATTGTGTTGGACTCATATTATTTCATTATTTATCTTTGTCATCCTGTATCAGTAACTTAGTTAACTTGGTGTACTTCAAGTAACATCTTGTGGTGTAGTCCCTTCCAAAGTTGATAGAAATATCATTTGCCCATGCTGCTGTAGGAGTGGAATTTTAGGTCCCCCTCTCTAATAACAAAAAGGGAGGTAAAGAGTTAATAGTTAGCTAAGTGCTTGTGCACTTGTGTTGTCTTCTGCCAACCTAGCAGTTCGAAAACATGCAAATGTGAGTAGATCAATAGGTACCGCTCCAGCGGGAAGGTAACGGCGCTCCATGCAGTCATGCCAGTGGCCACATGACCTTGGAGGTGTCTACGGACAACACTGGCTCTTCGGCTTAGAAATGGAGATGAGCACCACACCCCAGAGTCAGACATGACTGGACTTAATGTCAGGGGACTATCTTTACCTTTACCTTTTAAAGTGCTTGTGCAGGTACAGCTGTACCAGAAGCTCCAATTTTGTTTGCTTTGCATTGAGTGTTTATTGCAGTCCTAAGTTTCAGGGACTCTGCAGATAGGTGGCTTCTTTTGGCTGCAATCATAGGGCAAGCCACATGTCAATTATAGTTAGGTTCCCTGATCCCACCCCTTTTTGGGTTTTTGGAGGGAATAGGAGCCTTTTTGGGTCAGTCCACACAGAGCAGCTTTCCATGCAGGACATAATACCAAGAGCTCCTATAGAAAGCTTCGTCTTCTAGGGCTTGGCCGGGGAGATATGCAACGTACAGCTTGGCCGAGGATCATACAGCCTTACAGCTCCTTTGCTGAAGGACTTCAGCCGGCCATCACTGAAACCTGAACTCCTTCTTTTCCCCTGGAAGTCTACAAAGCTCTGCTTGGTAAGGGTCGCTTGCGGAAGCCAGACGCAGTTGGTACCGGGTGCAGGGGCTCCACGCCAACAGAGGCAAGGACAGACTGCCCAGATTAGAAGTTAAGGATTTCCCCATTAGTTAGTATACAGTTGTGAAGATAGTGCCTGTTCCCAGTGGACAAGATTGCAAGAACCAATAGACTGTTAAGAAAGCTTGAAAGTACCTGTTTGTTTTCATCAATAAAGAACTTTGTTGGACTTACTTTAAGCCTCTACAGAACTTTGTTTTGGGGAGGTCCAAGGGCCTTTAATCTGAGGCAGCCCCAGCGTCTCGTTGGGCACACAGAATTTATGTCCTGTCTACAGTCATATGCACAGGCCCAGCGTGCGACAGCACAGAGCTGCAAAGCAATAGATTTGACTGATGTAACCTGCAGCTTGACCAAAGTATAACCTCTTGCTTAGAACTGCTTCCATGCCAGGAGATAACATTGTGTTTACCAGAAGAGCCTAACACATACCAGAGGAACAATGTAGGTAACAGGTACAGAGAGGGGAGGGGCACCATTGCCTCAGTGTTGTACCTTTCCACTGTTAAAGTCAGATGATGTATAATTTGTTTGTACATGTGTATAAGAGATGGGCAAACAAAGGAGAGGGGTGTGCCGGGCTTTCCTTTCTGCAACAAGCAGATCCGTGCACCTTTACTTTGGCCAGAGTAAATAAACAGCTTGCTTTTCAAAGTCCTGAAGTTTCCTCTCTTCCCTTGCTGAAGTCTCAACGGACCCAGGAGAGATTAGAGTTAATTTTACTCCCCTTTTTACTTACTTGGGCGATCCCTCATAGTCCGAGGATGATGGTCCTACAAGTGTGGTATCCTGGCGGTGGGTCCATAGGTGACTGTGGAGCCCTATTCTTAATCTGCATCTTCTCCCACAGTGAGAGCATCGGTTTCAGACAAAGTCGCTTTGATCCGTTCTGAGCTGGACACCATGTTAAATGCAGTCTCCGTGGATGTGACAAGAGCACCTGCTTGTCCTATTTTGATGGATTCTTTTCAGTTTGTGAAACCCGAGGATGTGGACAAGATACTTGGAGGAATGAGGCCCACCACGTCCATCCTAGACCCCTGCCCATCCTGGCTTCTGAAGGAGGCCAGAGGGGGATTGGCTGAGTGGGTAACGGTGGTGGTTAATGCCTCTCTTCGGGAAGGCAAGATTCCAGCGAGCTTAAAACAAGCTATTATAAAACCGCTGTTGAAGAAACCATCACTGGACCCCACTAAATTTGACAACTTTCGGCCTGTTTCCAATCTTCCCTTCCTGGGCAAAGTCATGGAAAGCGTGGTGGCCTCACAACTCCAGGTATTCTTGAGAGACACGGATATTCTGGATCCGGCACAGTCTGGTTTCAGACCGGGACATGGTACCGAGACGGTCTTGGTCGCCTTAGTGGATGATCTGCGCCGGGAGCTAGACAGGGGGAGTGTGTCCCTGTTGGTGCTCCTGGACCTCTCAGCGGCCTTCGATACCGTCGACCACGGTATTCTTCTGGGGCGCCTTGCAGAGATGGGTCTTGGGGGCACTGCTTTGCAGTGGCTCCGCTCATTTCTGGAGGGTCGTACCCAGAAGGTGTTAGTGGGGGACTCCTGTTCAGCTCCACAGCCTTTGACCTGTGGGGTTCCTCAGGGTTCCATCTTGTCCCCCATGCTGTTTAACATCTACATGAAGCCGCTGGGTGAGATCATCCGGAGTTTCGGGGTGCGGTGTCATCTGTACGCAGATGATGTCCAACTCTGTCACTCCTTTCCACCTGCTACTAAGGAGGCTGTCGAGGTCCTGAACCAGTGCCTGGCCGCTGTAATGGTCTGGATGAGGGCGAACAAACTGAAATTAAATCCAGACAAGACAGAGGTACTCCTGGTCAGTCGCAAGGCCGAACAGGGTATAGGGTTACAGCCTGTGTTGGACGGGGTCGCACTCCCCTTGAAGGCGCAGGTTCGCAGCTTGGGTGTGACCCTGGATTCATCTTTGAGCCTGGATCCCCAGGTTTCAGCGGTGACCAGGGGAGCATTTGCACAGCTTAGGCTCGTGCGCCAGCTGCGCCCGTATCTCGGGAAGTCTGACTTGGCCACGGTGGTACACGCTCTGGTCACATCCCGGCTTGACTACTGCAACGCTCTCTACGTGGGGCTGCCCTCGAAGACGGCCCGGAAGCTTCAGCTAGTTCAGCGTGCGGCAGCCATGTTGCTAACGGGAGCGGGACGCAGGGAGCATACAACGCCCTTGTTGTCCCAGCTTCACTGGCTGCCGATCTGCTACCGGGCCCAATTTAAGGTGCTGGTGTTATCCTACAAAGCCCTAAACGGTTCCGGCCCAAAATACCTTTCGGACCGCATCTCGGCCTATGAGCCCACGACCTTGAGATCATCTGGGGAGGCCCTTCTCTCGGTCCCGCCTGCCTCACAGGCACGTCTGGCGGGGACGAGAGAGCGGGCCTTCTCGGTGGTGGCCCCCCGGCTGTGGAACTCCCTCCCTGCTGAAGTTAGACAGGCGCCCTCCCTCATGGCCTTTCGTAAAGGCCTAAAAACATGGCTCTTCGAGATGGCCTTCAATTGAGTACTATCCTTGGCAATGACGACCGGAATGGATTACGACTATGAGACTGACTATGACCCATGATACGACGAAGCGGATTTTTAGTATAAGTATATGTTTAGTAGTAGTAGCATGTGTTGTATTGTTCTGATGACTGTAAACTGTCTTTTCTATGTTGTTGTTCACCGCCACGAGTCGCCCCCTGGGCTGAGAGTGGCGGTAAATAAGTGCAAGTAATAAATAAATAAATAAATAAATAAATAATAAGGCAGTCCTGGTCAGGGTTGGCTTGACGCACCTTCCTCTTGGCACGTTTCTCTCTGCCCCTCCATTTGTGCCTCTTCAAATTCTGCAGCACTGCTGGTCACAGCTGACCTCCACCTGGAGTGCTCAAGGGCCAGGGCTTCCCAGTTCTCAGTGTCTATGACAGACTTTTTAAGGTTGGCTTTGAGCCCATCTTTCAATCTCTTTTCCTGTCCACCAACATTCCATTTTCCGTTCTTGAGTTCGGAGTTTTTATTATATTATGTAGTGATGTGTTTTAATGCTGTTAAATGTTTATACTGTTTTATATATGCTGTGTATTTTGACAGGCATCGAATCTGTGCCTTTGTTTGTAAGCCGCCCTGAGTCCCCCTTCGGGGGTGAGAAGGGCGGGGTATAAGTAACTGCAATAAATAAATAAATAAATAAATAAACTGCTTTGGGAGACGGTGGTCGGGCATCCGGACAACGTGGACGGTCCAGCGGAGTTGGTGGCGGAGGACCATCACTTCAATGCTGGTGGTCTTTGCTTCTTCCAGCAAGCTGACATTTGTCCGCTTGTCTTCCCGAGAGATTTGCAGGATTTTCTAGAGGCAGCGCTGATGGAATCGTTCCAGGAGTTGCATGTGACGTCTGTAGACAGTCCACGTCTCGTAGGCATATAGCAGGGTTGGAAGGACAATAGCTTTATACACAAGCACCTTTGTCTCCCTACAGATGTCCCGGTCCTCAAACACTCTCTGCTTCATTCGGAAAAATGCTGCACTCGCAGAGCTCAGGCGGTGTTGAATTTCAGTGTCAATGTTGACTTTGGTGGAGAGGTGGCTGCCAAGGGAGCGGAAATGATCCACATTTTCTAATGTTACACCATTAAGCTGTATCTCTGGCACTGGAAAGAGGATGGCTGGTGTCTGCTGGAACAGCACTTTGGTTTTCTCATTGTTCAATGACAGGCCGAGCATTTCGTATGCTTCTGCAAAGGTGTTTAAAGTGGCTTGTAGGTCTTCTTCTGAATGCGCACAGACGACGTTGTCATCAGCATATTGGAGTTCTATAACAGATGTTGTAACCTTGGTTTTGGCTTTCAGTCTGCTGAGGTTAAATAGCTTGCCATCTGTCCGATAGATGATTTCCACTCCTGTGACTGCCAATAAAGTCTTCTTCATCTGATATACTGTAAGTATCATTACTAATTTTTTAAAAATTGAAATAAATTAAGCAATTGAGTGTTGAGGCAGTATGCCCAAATATTTTGAATGTCTATTCTCAATCAGAAAATAGAAATGACATTAAAAAATACAATAGTGTAATCTGCAGAAAATACAAAGGGGTGGTTACAAATTACAAAAACAGAGTACCACACTAGACCATCCTGCCTGATGGGTTTTATAGTGTCAGATTGACACAAACAAACACACATGCCATCAAGCCTTTTCCCTCTTTCCTGTCTGTATTTTTCCCTCCTCAACTCCATACTTTAATTTAGTGTTTCTCCTTTCTTTCTCTTTCTTCCAAAGCCAAACAATCTTTTTCAAAACACTCTTCTGCACAATTTCCCCTCCTCTCATCTCTGTCAAGTCATTTCAATCTCTCTTCACCTTTATCCACATCTCGTCTCTTTCAAATTCCTTCACTCATCACTCTTCTCACTCACTTCTCCCCTCTGTTTAACCCATTCTTTCACTATCTCTTTCTTGTAAAATTTCCTTTGGCAAGAGCTTTAGCACAGCTAGTAAATCATAAGATATACCAACAAAAAGGTTGCAAGTTCGAAGCCCCAGGTCGGCATGAGCACCCGATTGTCAGCCCAGTTCACTGTTTACCTAAGCAGTTCGAAAACGGCTCAAGCTGTAAGTAGAGAAATTAGGTACTGCTAAAACAAGTGGGGGAGATGTTTTACAAAACTATAAAGAAAAAAGATCAGAAAATGCCCAGTGAGCAAAAGGAAGGAGGAAGTCCAGATGGCTCTTTGTCATAGAGGATGGAGCAACAGCACCCGTCTGTGGCTAGATTTGACCACAACCTCCAAGGTGCCAAAAAAAAAGCAGGACGTCAACACAACATACCTCAGCACAACAGCAGAGACGAAACAAACAAGGACATCTAATCACCTCTCAACAAAAGATTGCTCCAGGCACTGCCAGGCCATCAAATGCTAATCAAGGTGATCAGTTGAAACATTCACACCTAGGTCCAACAGACAAGAGTCCTTTGTCCCACCCTGGTCATTCCACAGATATATAAACCCTTTTGCCTAGTTCCAACAGACCTCACTACCTCTGAGGATGCTTGCCATAGATGCAGGTGAAACGTCAGGAGAGAATGCCTCTAGACCATGGCCATATAGCCCGAAAAAACCTACAAAAACCCACAACATACCTCCTTTCTGTTCTTTCTGTTTCTGTCCTGTCTATCCAAAATGGAATTGCATGTTTGCTGTGTATGTGTACTGTGATTAGCCCTGAGTCTCCTTGGGGAGATAGGGCGGAAGATAAATAAAGTATTATTGTTGTTATTATTATTACTTTACACATCTGAGATCCTTCATATAAACAGAGTGTGACTGGCACAGGAGAGAGGAGCCCAACCAGAACTTTCATTCAAACCCAAGGATGATCACTTTTGGAGGACTGTTTCCAACAACTATGAATCTACGCCGACGATGTGGTCCTTTGATCTCCTCTGGAAGCCCAGTGCAACTCCCAGTCCCAATAGTCTTTGTTCTGGGATGCTTCGGAGAGCTTCTGTAACCATCGTCATTCTGCATCGGAGCTGCAAATACGTCGTCTCCTTTGGGGAGGATTCATCTCCTGCCTTTCAGAATTCGTCGCTGGAGGGTTTTGGCTGCTTCGCATTTCTGGAAAGGAGAGAAATTAGAAACTGGAATCCTATTTGGAACCCCACAACTCCTGGAGATTTGTATTTATGGTCATTAACAATCAAATGTGAATCTCCAAACCTTCCCTTGCATCCTAGTAGAGCACTAACCAAAGAGTTTAGAAGCCATTAATCTATATTAATTATACTAATTAATTAATCTATATTATTATACTAATAATATTACAATATAATGGTATAGTGCAATATAGTAATATATACTGATATTGTACTATGCTAATAATATAATATATTGTATGGTCAGTCAGAACTGACCATGGAACAACAGACTGGTTCAAGATTGGGAAAGGCGTCCGGCAAGGCTGCATCCTCTCACCCAACCTTTTTAACTTGTATGCAGAACACATCATGCGAGGATGTGCGGGGCTTGAGGAATGCAAAGCTGGGGTGAAAATGGCTGGAAGAAACATTAACAACCTCAGATATGCAGATGACACCACTCTGATGGCCGAAAGCGAGGAGGAGCTGAGGAGCCTTCTAATCAAGGTGAAAGAAGAAAGCGCAAAAGCCGGGTTGCAGCTAAACGTCAAAAAAACCAAGATTATGGCAACAAGAATGATTGACAACTGGAAAATAGAGGGAGAAACCGTGGAGGCCGTGACAGGGTTTGTACTTCTAGGCGCAAAGATGACTGCAGATGCAGACTGTGGCCAGGAAATCAGAAGACGCTTAATTCTTGGGAGGAGAGCAATGTCCAGTCTCGATAAAATAGTGAAGAGTAGAGACATCAGACTGGCAACAAAGATCCGCCTAGTCAAAGCCATGGTATTCCCTGTAGTAACCTACGGATGTGAGAGCTGGACCTTAGGGAAGGCTGAGCGAAGGAAGATCGATGCTTTTGAGCTGTGGTGTTGGAGGAAAGTTGTGAGAGTGCCTTGGACTGCGAGAAGATCCAACCAGTCCATCCTCCAGGAAATAAAGCCCGACTGCTCACTGGAGGGAAAGATACTAGAGACAAAGTTGAAGTACTTTGGCCACATCATGAGGAGACAGGACAGCCTAGAGAAGACAATTATGCTGGGGAAAGTGGAAGGCAAAAGGAAGAGTGGCCGACCAAGGGCAAGATGGATGGATGGCATCCTTGAAGTGACTGGACTGACCTTGAAGGAGCTGGGGTGGTGACAGGCCGACAGGGAGCCCTTGCGTGGGCTGGTCCATGAGGTCACGAAGAGTCGGAGACGACTGAACGAATGAACAACAACAACAACAATTGTATGAAAATATATATTGTAAGCCTCTCTGAGTCCCCTTCGGGGTGAGAAGGGCGGCATATAAATGCCGTAAATAAATAAATAAATAAATAAATAAATAAATAAATAAATAAAAATGTAATGTTCGTTTGTGGGATTAACAGAACTCAAAAACAACTGGGTGAATTGACACCAAATTTGGCCACAAGACACCTACTTTGCCTGGTAAGGACCACTGGGGCTAGCCATAAAGCAAATTGGAACCGGAGTAGGGGCCCCATGCCAGCGAAGCCTAAAAAGCAGATTGCCCAGGGAGGGGGGGGTCAAAGGATTTCCCTTTTAGAAGAACGAAACAGCTCATGAAGCAAGTTGCCTGTCCATTGTGGGCAAGTTAAGAGAGCCACCAATTTTCCTGAGTTTTAGTGTTGAAGATCTAAGAAGTATTTGATTGATTTGTTGAAGATTTAAGCACCAATAAAGAACTTTGTTAAACATTCTAAGCTTCTAAAGACTTTGTATAGGGAAATTCATAGGGCCTCTCAGCTGAGGCACCCCGACGTCCTGCTGGGCATATAGAGAGCATGTCCTGCTAATAGACAATTGCCACGGGCCCAGCGTGTGACAGCACAAGGTGCATGAGGGAAACGGTGGAAGGAAAGAAAGATCCACAAAGACATTCTGCCCAAAGAGAGTTGCCAGAACTTTGCCAAGGAGACATTGTGAGGTGGGCCTTCTTCCCAGAGCTGGAGAAGGGAGAAAGTAGGAGGCCAGAAGTCCCAAAAACCACCTAGCCAATGCCGAGTACATACTTCAATGGTATATATTTTCTCTTCTCCTCCGAAGTGCGGTACAGATGAAAAAGACTGCAGCCCTGATTGCTTAGACTTTAGTCCAGTGGTTCTCAACTTGTGGACACCAGCCTAGCAGTGGGCCACGAGAATGAAAATCCTGTCAGCAAACCCCTTCCTCTTTATTTTATTTCATTTTGTTTGGCTTTGTTTTGTTTCTGCTCCTTTCCGCAGAGTTGACCATCCCCGCCCCTTTTGGTACTAATGTTGGAGAGTGGTCCCTGGTCAAAGTAGTCTCTGGTCAAGTGGGCCCTGGCCAAAAAATGTTGGGAACCACTGCTTTAGTTCAAGGGAAGTTTTAGTTGCTATGAATTTTCAAGTTGTTTCTGACTGATGGTGACCTTGCGATGAAGTTATCAAGGAGTTTATTGGCGGGTTTTGTTTGGAGGGGATTCACCACTATTCACCCCAGGTCTCAGCGGTGGGCGGGAGAGCTTTTGCGCAATTAAAACGCTCTGGTCCACACTCTTGTTACATCCTGTATAGACTACTGCAACGCACTCTACGTGGGGTTGCCCTTGAAGACTGTTCGGAAACTTCAACTGGTCCAGCGAGCGGCAGCCAGATTGCTCACCGGAGCGACATACAGGGAGCACACCACCCCCCCCCTACTGGCTGCCAATTCAGTTCCGAGCACAATTCAAGGTGCTGGTTTTGACCTACAAAACCCTTTATGGTTCCGGTCCAGTGTATCTGTCCGAACGTATCTCCCTCTACGTCCCAGAATTTAAGATCATCTGGGGAGGCCCTGCTCTCGACCCCACCGCTATCAAAAGTGAGGCTGGTGGGGACGAGGAGCAGGGCCTTCTCAGTGGTGTCCCCCCACTTGTGGAACTCACTCCCTCCTTCCCTTCAGGAGGAAGGTAAAGATGTGGTTGTGGGACCAGGCCTTTGGGCATCCTGACAATTAGATATGGAAACCAGATGGATAGGACCGACAATTTGTGGAAATTGGAATTTAAACTATGAGACTGTGAAACGGTGACCATCAAGGAGGTTTGTATTGGTTTTGTTGCTTTTACTGGTTTTAGGGTTCTTTTTGCCGATAATAATTATTGTTTTCTGTTAATTGTTGTTATTCCTAAAATTGCTGTTTTGTTAACTAATGTTATTGTCCTTTGCTATTATGTAACGCGGGCATCGAATTGTGCCTTGCTTTTGTAAGCCGCCCTGAGTCGTCCCCCCCCCCCCCCCCCGGGGTGAGAAGGGTGGGGTAGAAGCAACCGAAATAAATAATAAATAATATTTGCCCAAGGCTGAGACAGTGTGACTTGCCCAAGGTCACTAAATGGGGGTCCATGCCTGAGATTTGAACCCTGGTCCATTAGAGTCCTTGTCCAATGCTCTTCCTGCTTCTTGGCAGAATGGGGTTGGACTGGATGGCCCATGAGGTCTCTTCCAACTCTATGAAGTGATGCTCCAACCGTGGCACTACGATGCCTCTCTTGTTGCACCGCCTTGAAGTCCACTCTGACTGACAGCGGCCCTTTCCTAAGGTTTCATGGATGGGGCCCCTTCCTCCCACCTTCCTCCCAACTCCTGCCATTTCTTCAGGCCTTACTTACTGAGGATGATGAAAACCAACACCAGGATCAGGATGAACGCCAAGACGCTTCCCACAATGATCCAGGGAAGAATCGGAGCGCCTGAAACAAGGGACAAAAATCAATTATGAAATGTACGTATTCGAGTCAACATGAGTGGCATGCATTGTCCTAGCTTGTCAACAGTCCACGTAAAAGGGATCTCGGAGTCTTAGGAGACCACCAGATGAACATGAGTCAAGAGTCTGATCCGGCAGCTAAAAAGGCCAATGCAATTCTGGGAATCATCCAGGTGAGTGTTCCCATTGAGGGAAGCCATAGTCCCACTCTGTTCTGCTTTGGTCAGACCTCATTTGGAATAATACTGCTTTGAGTCCCCCCAGGAGTGAGAAAGGCAGTATATAAATACTGTAAATAATAAATAAACAAACAAACAAATAAATAAATGGGTTGTAGGTTTTCTCGGGCTATATGGCCATGTTCTAGAGGCATTTTCTCCTGACGTTTCGCCTGCATCTATGGCAAGCATCCTCAGGGGTAGTGAGGTCTGTTGGAACTAGGAAAATGGGGTTTATATATCTGGAATGACCAGGGTGGGACAAAGGACTCTTGTCTGCTGGAGCTAGGTGCAAATGTTTCAACTGATCACCTTGATTAGCATTTGATGGCCTGGCAGTTCCTGGAGCAATCTTTTGTTGAGAGGTGATTACTGATTAGGTGTCCTTGTTTGTTTCCTCTCTGTTGTTGTGCTGTTCTAATTTTAGAGTTTTTTAAATACTGGTAGCCAGATTTTGTTCATATACCATGCAGCTGTGGACAAGTCTCCATAGGGACCACCAAACGCAGCATTGCCCAAACACGCTTCAAGGAACATGAAAGGCACTGCAGACTCCTTCAACCAGAGAAGTCAGCCATAGCAGAGCACCTGATGAACCAGCCTGGACACAGCATATTATTTGAGAACACAGAAATGCTGGACCACTCTCACAACCACCATGTCAGACTACACAGAGAAGCCATTGAAATCCACAAGCATGTGGACAATTTCAACAGAAAGAAGGAAACCATGGAAATAAACAAAATCTGGCTACCAGTATTTAAAAAAAACTCTAAAACAGAGAGGAAACAAACAAGGGCATCTAATCACCTCTCAACAAAAGATTGCTCCAGGCACTGCCAGGCCATCAAATGCTAATCAAGGTGGTCAGTTGAAGCATTCACACCTAGCTCCAGCAGACAAGAGTCCTTTGTCCCACCCTGGTCATTCCACAGATATATAAACCCCTTTTTTCCTAGTTCCAACAGACCTCACTACCCCTGAGGATGCTTGCCATAGATGCAGGCGAAACGTCAGGAGAAAATGCCTCTAGAACATGGCCTTATAGCCCGAAAAAACCTACAACAACCCAGTGATTCCGGCCATGAAAGCCTTTGACAAAATAAATAAATAAATCTATATAAATAAAAATGTAACGTTAGTTTGTGGGATTACCAGAACTCAAAAACCACTGGACGAATTGACACCAAATTTGGACACAAGACACCTTTTAGTTTTAATGTTAAGATGTTTCAATTCTATAGTTTTAATGTATATGTTTTATTTGTATGTCTATTTATGTGGCATTGAATTGTTGCCGAACTGTAAGCCACTCTGAGTTCCCTTCAGGGTGAGAAGGGCGGGGTATAAACACAGTACATCAATCAATCAATCAATCAATCAATCAATCAATCAATAGATGGTGCCTTCTGCCTGACAGAATGGGGTTGGACTGGGTGGCCCTTGCGGTTCTCTTCCAACTCTAGGAGCCTTTAAGGCTACGGCAATAATTATGATATTGAATTATGAATCTGAAGATCAGGGATCAAATGCACACTCCACCATGAAAACCCACTGCGTGTCCCTGAGTGAGCCACACTCTCCCGGCCCCAGAAAATGCCATAACTTGGAAACCACTTGAAAGCACAAGAGAAACAATCCTACTTTCCCATAACCTCAACCTTATGGCCCTTTACCACAGATCTCCACAGGGAAATGCAGATCGGATCCTGGCCCTTCCGGCAGGCTGTCGTGTTCCACGTGGCACTGGTACTTGTCCCTGTCCTTCGTGTCGACCTCAATGCTGATCCAGGTATTATAGGTCCCATCTGAGTTCGGGATGACATTTCCCCGGAGGGTTTCCTGCTCCTGGACCTCCTCGTCCTTCCTCCACGTGGCATCAATGTCCTTCGGGTAGAAGCCATGGATGTGGCAGACCAGAGTCTCCAGGCCTCCGATGGCCGGCTTGTGGGTCACCTTCACGGATGGGGCCACTGTGAAAAAGGCAGTGCAATTTCAGGCTGTGATAATATGGCTTGCAGGCTTATTTTCTGCTAATCTGGAGTGGAGCAATAGATTCAAATGTCAGGAAGAGATTTCCCCTGACTATTAGGAAGGTCTATTTGACCATGGAATATGATGTCAAAGTCTCCTTCTCTGATTGGTTTAAGAAAAGGCTGAATGGCCATCTGTCAGGAGGACTTTGATTGTGTTTTCCTGCATGGTCGAAAGGGCTGGACTAGATGGCCCTTGAAGTCTCTCTCAGCTCTAGGATTCCATAATTCTAATGTTCACTCTGTACAAAACACCCCCCTGTCTTGATGAATTGTTGGTATACAACACCAGAAATCATATATGGTTCCACCTCAACATTAGGAAGAACTTCCTGACTGTATGAGTTGTTCAACAATGGAACTTGTTGGAGTATGTAAAAAATCAGTTGGTGAGTGTGTTAACTGAAAATTCAAAGCATGAAGCTGATTGGTTGGACTATGTCCGAGAGGCTAGCTGAGCCTGGGAGTTTTGGCAACTGTTACATATTTAGGATGTTAGCTGTGCAGGAGCTTACAGAGACAAGTTTTGTTTCAGGGCTGCTGGAAGAAGATCTTCCAATGTGGACACCTAAGAACCATTTGAATCTCTCTCAAAGGACAATGTGTGAGTCAAAGTGTTCACATGAATGACATATACGTTGCTCTGCATTTCAAAGAGTAAACTTCCATGTGTGTCAGGTTATTTTATCAAAACACATATGCTGGAAATCCCATCAAATTAACAAGCTTCATAGGTCAAAGCTTCTGGTTTTAAATACATTACAACTGCACCCTTGGTTTGCTTCTGATACAATAAATAAACACTTGCCAAGGTGTGCTCGTTGCCTCACCAAATTACCTCTCCCAGAACTCCATAGCATTGGACCCAGTAAGTTCAAGTGATGTCATACCACATTAAACTCTACAGTGGAGATGCAACCTGCACCCGTTGCAACCTCCCCTCCTCACCTCTCTTCCTGGCCGCCTTCTTCCCCACTTCCAGGTGTTTGCGCAGCATGGAGATGCACTTCTCCTCCAGGTAGACCTTGGAGCGCTGGGTCCGCCCGGCTTCGGTCTCCCACTTCTCTTTGTAGCCCTCGGCCACGGAGTCGCTGGCCGTCCAACGCAGGGTCTCCTTGTCGAAGCTCAGGGCCTCCCTCCCGTCGTAACTGAACTTATTGGACCCTCCCTTGAGCCCGTCTTCACTCAAGGTGCAGCTGAAAACCCACTGTATGGTGTGAAGCCCTGAAAGGAAAGAGGGGGTCAGTCAGCAGGGCGTTGGGGTATCCTTCTCTGGAGGTTCGTAAGCAGAGGCTGGATGGGCATCTGTCAGGACGGCTTTGATCATGTCTCCCTACCTGACAGAATGGGGTTCATAGAATCCTAGAATCAAAGAGTTGGAAGAGACCTCATGGGCCATCCAGTCCAACCCCATTCTGCCAAGAAGCAGGAATATTGCATTCAAATCACCCCTGACAGATGGCCATCCAGCCTCTGTTTAAAAGCTTCCAAAGAAGGAGCCTCCACCACACTCCCCCTGGGGCAGAGAGTTCCACTGCTGAACGGCTCTCACAGTCAGGAAGTTCTTCCTCAGGTTCAGATGGAATCTCCTTTCTTGTAGTTTGAAGCCATTGTTCCGCCTAGTCTCCAAGGAAGCAGAAAACAAGCTTGCTCCCTCCTCCCTGTGGCTTCCTCTCACATATTTATACATGGCTATCATATCTCCTCTCAGCCTTCTCTTCTTCAGGCTAAACATGCCCAGCTCCTTAAGCCGCTCCTCATAGGGCTTGTTCGCCAGACCCTTGATCATTTTAGTAGCCCTCCTCTGGACACATTCCAGCTTGTCAATATCTCTCTTGAATGTGGTGCCCAGAATTGGACACAATATTCCAGGTGTGGTCTAACCAAGGCAGAATAGAGGGGTAGCATGACTTCCCTAGATCTAGACACTATGCTCCTATTGATGCAGGCCAAAATCCCATTCGCTTTTTTTGCCGCCACATCACATTGTTGGCTCATGTTTAACTTGAGCTAACAATGGGTAAGGGTAAAATCCCCAAGATTTAAAGCAAAACTTGAACAGGATATGACTTGAAGCAAGGAAGGCAAAAGATCCTTGCTCTAATTGCAAAGCTGCTTGATCTGAAAAACCGAAAGCAGTTTCCCCCCTTAATAATGGCAGCAATGCATGAAAACATTCCTTTGGCCCTTCGGCTGCTTTTCCCATCGCCTGACTTGCACCTGGAATTCTTCCCACGGAGAAGCAGTCTCGCCTCTCTATCTAATCTTTCTTCCAGCCTGTCATTCTGCAAAACAGTCTCATTTTCACACAGAGAGTCCTCCATTCTCCCAACTGGGGAACTGCCTTCCTGTTCCAACATCCCCTCTGTCTGAACAGGCCTTGCACCCCCAGACCCCTTATCAACATCCTCAGCTGGAGGTCCTGCACCCCCAGACACCTCATCAACATCCTCAGCTGGCTGAGCTACAATGCACACTTCCCAATATTGAAATATGGCTCCCGTGTCCCTTCTCATGGATGGGGTCCCAGGTTTCTCTGCCCACCTCCGCTGTGGTTGTAGTGGCGCATCACGGTGCCCATCTGCCACTTGAAGATCTGCTCCGCATTCCTCGCGTTCCGGTTCAGCCAGTCCCAGTATCCGGGGTCCAGTTCCGCCATCTCCACCATCCACTCCGTCCGGGGGACCCCACTCCGCCTCTCGCTGTCATAGAAAGCAAAAAGCTGTCCGTCAAAGTGGCCGCTGACCATGAACTGGGGCAGGTCCGGGCCAGGCTCTGATACCACCGTGAAGAGATAGCTAAGCGAGTGCGAAGGAGAGCCTGCAAAAGAGAAGACAAGTGAAAATAGTCAAGGGCCCGTGTAGAACAGCAATAGTTTCCCTTTGTATTCTCAAAGACTTTCATGACTGGTATCACTGGGTTGCTGTGAGTTTTCTGGGCAGTCTGGCCATGTTCCAGAAGCATTATCTCCTGACGTTTCACCCACATCTATGGCAGGCATCCTCAGAGGTTGTGAGGTCTGTTGGAAACTAGGCAAGTGGGATTTATATATCTGCAGAACAATGTCCTGGGTGGGAGAAAGAACTCTTGTCCATTTGAGGCAAATGCGAATGCTGCAATTGGGCACCTCAATTAGCACTGAATGGCCTTGCAACTTCAAAGCCTGGGTGCATCCTACCTGTGGGGAATCCTTTGTTGGGAGGTGTCAGCTAACCCTGATTCTAGAGTTTTTATTAATACTGGTAGCCAGATTGTGTTCATGTTCATGGTTTCCTCCTTTCTACTGAAATTGTCCACCTGCTTCTTATGGATTTCAGTGGCTTTTCTGTGTTGCCTGACATGGTGGTTGTGAGAGTGGTCCAACATTTCTGTGTTCTCCAATAATATGCTGTGTCCAGGCTGGTTCATCAGGTGCTATGCAATGGCTGACTTCTCAGTGCCTTTTGGGTTCTTTGATTCGTGTTTGGGCATTACTGCATTTGGTGCTTCCTATGTAGACTTCTATGTCCACAGCTGCATGGCATACAACAGACAGTAAATACAGAGCAATACTCAAAAAACAAGGCATTTCCAGGCAGGAAACAATCAAGGTCAGCTAACACCTTGCAACAAAGGATTCCCCCAGGCAGGAAGCAGCCAGGCTTTGAAGCTGCAAAGCTGTTCAGTGCTAATCAAGGTGGCCAATTGCAATATTCTCACTTTCCTCAAGCAGGCAACAGTTCTTCCTCCCACCACAGGGAGAAATATAAACTCCACTTGCCTGGTTTCCAACAGACCTCCCAACCTCTGAGGATGCCTGCCATAGATGTGGTTGAAATGTCAGGAGAGAATGCTTCTGGAATATGGCCAGACAGCCTGGAAAATTACCCACTGCTTCTTGCCAACGTATTACTATCTCAGGCACGCACAAGGATAATTTTCAGTGGGTTGTTGTAGGTTTTTTCGGGCTATATGGGCATGTTCTAGAGGCATTCTCTCCTGATGTTTCGCCTGCATCTATGGCAAGCATCCTCAGAGGTAGTGAGGTCTGTTGGAACTAGGCAAAAGGGTTTATATATCTGTGGAATGACCAGGGTGGGACAAAGGACTATTGTCTGCTGGAGCTAGGGGTGAATGTTTCAACTGACCACCTTGATTAGCATACAATGGCCTGACTGTGCCTGGAGCAAACTTTTGTTGAGAGGTGATTAGATGTCCTTGTTTGTTTCCTCTCTGTTGTTGTGCTGTTGCAGTTTTAGAGTTTTTTTAATACTGGTAGCCAGATTTTGTTCATTTTGGGGATATTTCAGAATTCCAGATAAGGGATGCCCAACCTGCATTGTTGTTGTTGTTGTTGTTGTTGTTGTTTCTGCCCCAATTCTCCTCAAGACTGAGACCCAAAGCAGCCCAAAAACATAAAAGCCAAAGCAACCAAAATGAAGATATTGCTCCTTGGTGTGTTTTGTACATACTTGGTTTTATTTTCCTCACCTACAGCCTTGTGCTTTTGCTTCTAGACTTTCTTGAAACAGGAAGGAAGGAAATGTTATGAATTTTTGAAAGCATCTACACGGTTCTCTGAATTGGGGCAAAGGAACTCTGTGGTTTGCCCTGGTGTCAGTTAGGAAACCACTTCCTTGGCCTACATGCAGGTGACATAGAATCATAGAATCAAAGAGTTGGAAGAGACCTCATGGGCCATCCAGTCCAACCCCATTCTGCCAAGAAGCAGGAATATTGCATTCAAATCACCCCTGACAGATGGCCATCCAGCCTCTGTTTAAAAGCCTTCACCACACCCCGGGGCAGAGAGTTCCATTGCTGAACGGCTCTCACAGTCAGGAAGTTCTTCCTCATGTTCAGATGGAATATCCTCTCTTGTAGTTTGAAGCCATTGTTCCCTTGCGTCCTAGTCTCCAGGGAAGCAGAAAGGAAGCTTGCTCCCTCCTCCTCCCTGTGGCTTCCTCTCACATATTTATACATGGCTATCATGTCTCCTTTCAGCCTTCTCTTCTTCAAGCTAAACATGCCCAGCTCCTTAAGCCGCTCCTCATAGGGCTTGTTCTCCAGACCCTTGATCATTTAAGACAGTTTTTAAGCAGCTCCTTACAACTACAGTACGATCGCTATATCTATGAAACCAGTTTCTGCAGTTTCATTTATCCGTTTTGCACTAGATACACATATGTATGTATACAATCATAGAATCTTAGAGTTGGAAGAGGCCTCGTGGGCCATCCAGTCCAACCCCATTCTGCCAAGAAGCTGGAAAATCACCTTCAAAGTATATATATATAGTGAGACAATATATATAACAAAGTATAGAAATGTATCCACTACCACATCCTTCAAAATATAACAACAACAGTAGTAAAAGGTGGCACCTCTCGTCAAACTCAGATTTGACAGGTACCACGCCCCCTTTTTGGGGAAGGCCCCTCCCATGCCCCTCCCACGCCCCTCCCACTCCAACCCCTGAAGTCCCGCCTCTCCTAAACAGGAAATGGATGCCAGAGAGCCCTCCCACTGGGTAAAACCCCACCCCACGGTCCACCCCACCCCCACCCTAACCCCTTTGTGTGGAGCATAGCATGGATAGACCTATCCCCGATGAATGGCTTGTGGAAATGAACAGCCAGGGGCGTGTGTGGTAGCTCTAAGCTGACATCACGTGATACATAGTAGCCAATAGGGAATGGTTTAGGACCGCAAGATGACCATGTGATAGTGAGGGGCCAATAGGCGTTGTTTTAGGGTTTAAATAGCCCTGCTTGAGTATAGGGAGGCGCTCTGATCATTTTGCAGAACAGCACATAATATGGAATCACCCTCTGGTCCTTCAACTATGGACTTGCCTGATTCAACAGTGGATGATGATCTATGTAGGAAAAGGTACATCAGCTCATCTGAGGATGATGAGGAAGAAGGGGAAGAAGCTAAAAGATGTCGGGAGGAAGAACGTGTAGTTCATGAATCTGTGAATAGCCTGTTGAAGACGGATTCAACACCATCATACAATGAGCAGGTAATACTTATAAGCGATTATTCTGATCCCTCTTAGGTTGAAAAGGGATGGTGGGGTATATTTCAAAAGGATGAAGTTGTATAACCTGTAAATTACTAACACTCTGATCTTTTAAAAACGTTTTAGGGAACTGCTGAAAATCCTCCTATCTCTGCTCTCTGGAAGCTCTGCTGTGTTGCACCAAGCCAGCTACAAGTAAGTTTGAAAAGGGAACGTTGGGTGCTTGTGTATGTGTGTTGGGATAATGATCATTGTATGTGTTTTAACATGATTATTTTGTTATTTATAGGAGCCCCCTGAAATGGCAGCTATTCAGAGCCCAGGACATGAGGTCGTGTCAAGCATACTAGGATTGAATACGGATATTCAACCAGCAGATGAAAACCAGAAACCAGACATGTATGCATTTGCAAGAACGCTAATTTTGGTTTTATTAGATCACAATTTAAACGAGATATTATATTCGGAATGCTCAGGATGTTTGGAAGCGCAGCCGAATCAACTTGCTCATGACTGTGTGTCATGGAATATAACATTCTTTAATAAGAAGCTAAGAGATATATGTGACAATTTGTGCTTTAAAAACACCCTCCACATGTATATATTATTTAGTTATTCCCAAAAATGTCTAGCTCTGACTAATGAAACATTGGATTATATCCTGAATTTGGTAATTAAGGTGGGGTCTTCTGAATCTCCACATGATTTTTTATTTGATGAGCTGAAAAGATGTAATGAGAACTTAATTAGACAGGTGAGGCACATCTTGAAAAGCAGAAAATATACGGATTTTGTGAAATCGCCGGGTATTATTGGCAGTTTTAAAAAGCAAGGAATCTAATGCGACTGTAAAATGTATTTTAAAAGGCTATGGAATAAAATGATTTAAAACAAAAAATGTCATTTCTGCCTTTATTCACATCAAACATTAAAAAGTGTACTGTTTTCTAAGGCAGTAACTATGCTGTACTGAAGACAGCCCTCGGTGTAAAGCATACTGGGTAAAATCCCATTTCTTTTTGGGGCCCCAGGTAGGGCTGGCACATCTGAAAAATATCAAAATGCCTATGGCGTGAAGCCTTGATTTAATTTAGATCAATATTTCATTTTATTAATATAGTTTTACCATATCTTATACTTCAAAAGGCCTTGATTTAATTTATTTCCAATATCTCATTTTATTAAAATAAATACATTCTAGACTTTAAAAATATTTTACCACATGTATCCTGATTGAAGGTTTCTATATCAAAAAGGTATCATACTGTAAAACACACCGCACATCTGAAAAATATCAAAATACCTATATCATATACTTCAAAAGGCCTTGATTTAATTTAGAAGCAATATTTCATTTATTAAAA